CTTCATTATTTCATTCGCAAATAACAGTTATATGGATAATATCAGCGCACCAATAACACCGGGCAAAAAAAAAAAGCAGCATTGTAAATGATAAGAAATAAATAAGAAAGTCAAGAAACATGCAGCTAGGCATTGATCGGATAAATAATTTCAATGGTTGTGAAATTGATTTCACGTGTTTTACTTTCAAATGCATTTCAAATAATTTAACTATGTACAAGTATGTAAAATGACTGCCTACCGGCAAATTTACTCTTAATTGTAGTAATTAATAAACCAAAAAGATATATCCACCGAAATATCTGCAGTTATTTAAACTTCTTTTCACAAGTGAAACTGTAAATATATTTCAATATTATAATATTTTGCATGATGCAAAATGCAAAGTAGTTGCACTTAAAATTTTAACCATCTGATATAAAAAGATTTTTTGATTTTTGCCTAATTTTTGTGCTGCCAATTTCATATTTTAAAAAATAAAATTTCAAGTTTCTAAAGTTAAAAAAATATATTATAAAACAAAAAATGTAAAATGTAAAAAATGTAAACAAAAAACTAAAGAAAAGTAAAACGTACTCACACAAAACTCAAAGGCATTGCATAGTATTTTCTGCAATTTAATGAAATTAGATTATTTTTTGGCGGCTTAACACTTTTTTATAAAAAAAAAAATGTATGAAATATTTAAATAAAATATTTAAAGAGACAATATCTTAGAGTAAGAAAAGGAAATATAATATAATAATATATAATGTCAAAAAATCTTTTTCTGTCAATTTTATATTGAGTGGAACTACCTTCCCTTTTTGTATCATTATATTATATTATACAATATTATGTACGCTTGGAGTGTACGCGTCGTATACGTAATATTTTTGTGAATCTCTCTCTCATTTTCATTCGTAAACTGAGTTGAACTTACCATTTTAACTGTTATTCCTTAAATGTTAGATTTTTCTGCACAACAACAATTATCGAAACAAGGAACAGAAAAAACTTTAGAGATCTTTCAACGGCGAAACAATAAACACTCAATTCACAATTTAATTTTATTAATCTTCGAATTTCGATTGCGCCAATTGGTAGATTAAATTTTGAAACACTGTTATGCAAAATAAATATCAGCAACACTTTTTTTTTGCAAACATTTCTCTTCGTGAAAATTCAACCGTAAATATTGTACAGACAATATAATGAATGTACAATGTTTATTAGTAACAACGCCGCTTACGCTCGTATATTATTTAGCCGCCGTATCCATTGATAAACTGTCGAATGTGTCGAACAGAAAAGGTGTTTAGGGGCCTCATATTATTTGCTAGACCACACCACGTTACTCGGTTATCAGTGCGATAGGGATTGTGTACTCATATACATACATATGCATATACAAATTCATAGGCGTGCAAAAAGAAATATTTATTTTTTATGTGTTTTTCATGTTAAAACCACGGCCAACAACACACTTAGAAACCGGATCGGACATCTCTTTGATTGGTCGTAAACATTGTTTATTTTTTATCAAATTGGTGAAGATATCTTCTTAGAATATTAAAGATAATAATTATACGTAAACATATATACAATAGTTATATTATATATTATATGGAGTTAACGTGTGTCAAAACAAATGTAGTATATGTATGTATGTGTGTATTTGAAAACCATTATGTTAAGTTTATCAATTTATGTATACATAAAAATGGTGTAAAATATATATATACATACATATATATGTATTAAATCATCAATTGATCACGGTCAGACCGATTTGACTAAAAGTTTTCGGTATCTGATCTTTTCAGAAAAAGTTTTTGCGAAAGAAAATTTCGGTAAAGTGGTCGGGGGAATAGTCTATTCGGTATTCTATTGTATTAATGGTATTTACGATTGAATTTACTTGAAAGTATTTTACTTCCGAGAGGTAAGCTCGGATCGTTCCGTTGAAATTTGGTGCAGCCACCCATTAGTTTAGGTAGGAACACTCCCTCTTCTGAGTTGTGGACCGGGAACCAATTTATTAATAAAATCGTACTTGTAATTTTTTTTTCAGGAACCAAAGATCACGATTACGATTAATTAGGAGGAGAGGCCACTCTAGGATTTTGGAAAACGCACTTTTTTTTTGCGCTCACAGGGTACCTTAGGGTCCAAGAAATGATATGAAATTGGTTTTAAAGTGAAAAGAATATTTCCCATAGCTGAACTTATAAAACTACTCAGGCTAGAGGAGCTAATCGACGGTGTTTGTGCCTCCTTCTTGCGACAGCTCCGCATCTTAATATGATGTGTACCGGTGTTTCTGGTGCTGCTCACTCATCAGAGCTTTCGCAATTTCTTATTTCCTCCCTTCTTATCACTTCTCTGGCTGAGTGGGGACCTAAGGGAAAGAATGGCTCTGGTCCAGTAGAAGAGATTGAGGCAGCTTCTTTTGCAAGTCTATCTGTTATTTCGTTTCCTTCAATATCTGTGTGCCCCGGTACCCAGGTGAGCTGACCTTTGTTTCTTTCGTCCACTCTATTAAGGTTCTTAACACATTCTCATACCATATATGATTTAATAATACATGACGATATTGTTCTCAACGCGGCTTGGCTATCGCTGAAAATTACTGAACTCTGTTGGTTAAGAATTTGCCTTTGAGAATGAGCTCTGCGCATCTTGTGATGGCAAATACCTCTGCCTAGAATATAGAAAAATGGTTATATTGTGGGTTGGGGGTATATCTTCACCCATTTTCGTGGTCAGCTCTACTCCCGACCATCCACTCAAGTTGGGTGCTGTTTTCGTAAGCCATTCGACTGTGCTGCTGTCTTTGCAGTCCTCTATTAGTAGCCCTGGTCTAAATGTCACTCCAGTGAAAGTAAGCGGCTTCTTCGAGCCCTTTATTACCTCATCCATTATGGCATCCTGGATGTCGGTCAGCGGTTCCGGGGACAGAAACTACTACTTCGGAAGCGCCGCTGACAGCTTTTATAGCTTCAGCATAGCTGTTCCCATGGTCAAGCGTGAGGGCCTGTTGTTTCGGAGCAGGTGATCCCTCCTGTTGGCACAAAGGAGAGGTCGGCGTAAGCCTTTTCGAGGGGCGCTTGCTGCTACTACTTGTTTTCGCCTCCATTTGATGTGCTTGGACTCGGGCTGACTCTGGGCTCATACACCGTTCAAGACTTCGTAAGAATCTTACTATGCCAGTTCCACTAAGCTCATGTCATCTTGGGTCATACCGTCCCTCGGGGCGCCCTAGTTCTGGTACATCCGGACCACGTTGTCTTCTTTGCTTCTTTTCTATTATACTATCCTTTGGAGGCGAGGTAACATGCCCTCTATAGGCTCCATCGGCCTTTGCTGATTTATTCGGTGAGGTATGTGTGCCCTCAAGCCTGTTCCTATTCCTACCTGGAGATCTAGGTCTTCCCTCCTTTTTTGATCTACTCGACGATGATTTTGACGACTCGCTCTTTTCTTCGGTCTTGCGTTTTCGGTGAGATACCTCTGTCCAACGTTCAGCTGATTCTTTGCGCCCCTTGTTTCGGCTGGGGGAGTTCAGTCTTTGCGGAAGTCTAAGGCCCTCAACGACTGACTTCTCCGCTCGGTATTGTTGTCGCTGCCATCTCCGAGTTGACTTCTTAAAGTTGGCGATGTGCGTCTCAGTGGAGGTCTAAGGCCCTCAACACTGATGAACGCCTACTGTTGGCGTGAAGGTTGATTTATGGCAAGTGCTTGGAGGTCTCCCGAGACAGCTCAGCGAGGGAAGCACTATTGGCTTTACGACTTCCAGAAACCCCTGTGCTTGTTGTGGGATAGTGGTCATCTCGTGCATGTTCTGCAAAAAGAGCTGCCGCCTCTGGTGAGAGGTCCTTGTATTTGCTACTCTTTCTGTAGTATTTTTCGTTGTTGTTGTTTTTGTTGTTGTTGTTGCTAGGTTATTTGTTTTGGTTGTGGTTTATCTTGTTCTTACGACCACTTGCAAGCTGAAGCCCAAAATTGCGGAAAGGACCATAAATCTTACGCAAAACCTTTCACTCGAAAACTCTCAACGCCGACTCATCAGATGTTGTCATCGTCGATCAGGGCAGGAACAATGAGCGACTTAAAGAGTTTGATTTTTGTTCGTCGAAAGAGGGTTTTACTTTTTAATTGTCTACTCAGCCCGAAGTAGAGCTGTTGGCAAAAGTTACTCTGCGTTGGATTTCCAAGTTGACTTTGTTGTTGGTCTTGGTACTAGTTCCACGATAGGCGAAGTTATCTATGATCTGGAAGTTATGAATGCCAACAGTAACGTGGGAGCGGAGTCTCGAATAAGATGACTATTTATTTTATTATTTATATAAGAGATATTTCGTCTTGTCCTCGTTCACTGCTAGACCCATTGTTGTTGTTGTTGTAGCGGTTCGCTAACCCCGCTTAGGCACAGGCTTAATAAGTCTAAGTCGCCGAGGTCATCTAATTGTAGGCCCAGGAAACGAGCTGTTTCGACGGGGTTGGACCAAAGGGAGAGGGGGGTTAGATGAGTAGGTTTGAGGGGGCATGTGAAGAGGTGGTTAGTGTCGTGCGGGGACTCTCCACATGCCGGGTGCTAGACCCATTCGCTTCGCTTCTTTATCAAATCTATAGACAGTAGAACACTCGACATAATCGGCTTACGCCAGCAGCTGTAGGCTCTTATAGTAGATTGTACCTTCACTGCAGCTCTTATTATTTTCTCCAGCATCGAATTGAAGAAATCACACGACAAGGAATCATCCTGTCTGAATCCTCGTTTGGTAGGTAACGGCTCGGAGAGTTCCTCCCCGATCCTGACGGAGCTTTTGGTGTTGCTTAAGGTCAGTTTACATAGCCGCATATGTAAGGATACCGAATTCATTAAAAAAAGTCTGAACAAGTCCAGATTTGCATTATTATGCCGCTGAAGATAAAATCCACTATCGAGGGACTCGTTAAAAAAAAGAAAATAAAAACTTATAGAACAGCAGCAAAGAATTGCTTTAGAGCTTTAAAAGTTTTGGGCATCAAAATAATATTATTCATTAATTTACGCATACAATAATACATACTTATATATACACATATAAATCAGAAACTGAAAATTCACAAGTATAAAAAACCGCCAACCAACACGAATATATTATAAGCGAACATTCTGTTTTGTCGATTGCATCCTGCCGCTGAACTATAACCGGTTAAAGTACTCTTAAGTGCATAAGGAATATCTGTCGAATTTAACGGGTACAGACAGCACAAAACAGGAAAGTATGTATGTAAGTTTATATTTGTTGAAATCACTACACAGTGGTGTAACGGGCTTTGCAATGTACTAATAAAAGGTTGAAAGAAAGAAATTAAATAATTATTATATTTTTTTTCAAAAACATTTATATTATTTTCTCACCAATAAACTCAGAAACAGGATCGTTGTCGCCTTCACCACGCATAGTTCCTGTAATCTCCTCATTCTCTACCATTGGTAGAAACAATTGAACGAATTCTGGAGAATATGGTGGTGTTATCGTCTCCAAAACTTCAGTAACAAAGTAGCGTATCAGTGATATATCTGTATCACCTTTGGCACAACACTGTTTTATGTATTTCACGACTGGAACTACACAACCGCGCGTCAATAAATTAACCATTCGATCCAGCAACATTTTCTTCATTTCCAATTGGACTAAAATTTCGAGTTCGTCTTGTTTCGATTCAAATAGGCGTATTAGCAGCCGCAAAATCTGTTGATGCAGTGTGGGATGTACGGCAGCTACTTCATCAAGTATCGCCAAGTGAGTAGGGCAGCTATCTGTAGATAATTTAAAATATGACGGCTCAGTAACAGTATTTTCAATCCAGCGAATAACACCGACACCAACAACTGGGTATCTGTAAATATTCCAATATAGTAAGTAGTAAAAATAATATTTATTTCATTTTACTCTACTTTATGCAGTTATAAAGCGTCTGTAATTCAGCAATTAGTTCAGTGGATCCCTTGTTAACATTGCAAATTGCGTGCACTTTCTCGATTGCTTGTATTGTACTTTTCAGTTCATCTTTATTAAGCACACGTTCGGTCATTGGTCGTTTTTTGGCTGGCGTATCTACTACCGAAGCAGCATATGCCAGTAGATGTATATACTTGGATTTATGTTCCGGATTTATTTTGACTCCTGCTTTAAACAATGAGTCTACTAACAGCTCAAGGAATTGAGGATTGCGTATTAAGTCGATTGGTGGTGGATCTGCTGCAGAATAATTGCGAAATAATACCGTAATATCTGCTGGATTGAGAGTATTTCGTGAAAGCATAGATGATAGCGCTTGGCATGCTTGTGGGTAAGCTGCAGAGCCATTTAAAGCCATAGTAATTGGAGTCACGTTTTGATTACTATTCCAAAGAAATAACGTAAATTTTGGTATGTTTATTAAAATAGTTTTGATTTTGGAATGTATTTACGCTAAATTATTACTTACTTTTGCAGTGCATATTTAGTGATTTCTTGTGAAAGGCGCTTCATGTTAAAACCACCTTTTGGCTCTTGACTTAGTACTTGAATTAGTACTTGCGAGTAAACATAGGTATGCTGCCCATGGCAAACCATGCGCGCACATTCTTGTATAGCACCTTGAATGTCTTCTGGATTGTTGAGGAATTTTGTTATGGAAGTCTTTAACACGCGAGAAAATACCTCTATCTGTTGTGCTGCAGTAGAAATAGATGTGATTTCACTTTGAAATCCTGCGTCTGATATAAGTTTAATAGTGAAGTTTAACATCAAGCAATCGGGATACTCTTCGGCCAGTCTGTATATTAGCGATCGCCATGTATGATGGTCAATCATTTCAGTCAACCAATCAGGTGTTTCACCTTCTTCTGTGAATATTGTATCAGCTTTTTTTGGATCGAATGTCTTCAGTATCATGTCCTTTAAATGATTTTCCACCATTGCCTGTACATCAGTGACTTTAACACCGGCAAGTATGAGCCATTCTGCAAGCAAATTTGCCATTTGCGCTACCGCTTTGTAGTTCTCCGAGAGCATGGTTATCACTTCTTCAGGAGAACCACCCGATTGAAAGTAGCGCTTAAGTTGAGTGAAAATTCCGGGCTCCATAATATAATCGGGCGTTAAAAATTTTTCCAAACATTCTTGAATAGTCTCTTGCGGATTATCTTCGGGCATATCCTAATATAAGGAATATTTTAATATTCAAGTGAATTCGTCTTCTATAAATGAGTTTACCTCATCTTCCCCTGTTGGCTTCTGACGTCCTTGCCAGCCAGCATCTTCATACTCAATTTCCATGTTGCAAAACCTTAGTCGCCTGTTTGAATTTACTTAAAATAAATGATGTTTTTATTAAATATTTATTAGATTGTGCTATTGTAAACAATAACACCAATCTATCCTGTGTTCAAGAAACTTTCTATGCAACAAATAAAAAGGCAATTGTCAAAAGCGGCTTTGTTAGCATTGCCAGAACAAACTTCTTAAATTGTAGTTATGACACGTTTAGACCTACATACAATTGCAAGCTTCGAGTTGCATCATGCCCGCAAATATATTCTGGAACATTATATTAGAATGATCTCGATAACGAACATTATACATACGCTCTACCTAGATTATGCTTTAATTATTGGCATCTCTTTTTTAGCTTCCTTTCGTATTTGGCATTTTCGCTTCACGGCCCCATCACACATACTCTTATCAATTCTGCGAGTCTCTCCAAGTGGACCGCTATCATATAGATAATGAGGCTGCCAACAGCTCGATACACCATGCCATTCTGCTATTTTATAACTTTGTGTGGAACAATTCCTATTGCACTAAAATATCGGAGGCAATCCCTTCTTGCTCTCTATCTACATTCCTTGATCAAAGAGTAAGTCCACACCAACTAGATCTTCATCAGTAATTTTCGATACTATAAACATATGTAACACTCTCATATTTCCGATTATGACACCACATGTTAGTTCTCCTGCAACCTTGGTGACCTCACCAGTTTTATTCCTCAGCCTTGCTCTTGACAATGGTCTTACCTCTTTGATATGAAGTGAAATCACTCTAACTAATTGTAAGCAGGTATTCTTGATGAAGAACAAGCATCAGAAAAATATCAGTCACGGAAACAGCGTATATTATTCGGAAGGCAAAGCTGAGAGATGTGAATGAATCTTTTGGACGGTGTATCCAGGTTGTGAAACATATATGATATGGCAATAAGATTGAAAGGATTTCAGAAACGCAGGTAAGTATTGCCTCCAAAATTGCTACTGCGTGGTAAGGCCTGCCTCTCGTAACAGGCAACTAAAATCCATTAGTTCCCGCGACAACCGGAAGCGGAACTACTCGGATTTTTATCCCGCCAAGTACTACCACTCCCAGAATATTCCTCGAAATCGATTCGGAGAATATATACCAGTAAAAATTCTATAGATGATCGTTTCTCAAAGGTATTGCTTTATTTGTTGTTTTTACAAAATACATTTGTTTGAGTGCGAAATTTAAACTCAAAAATAAAAACTTTACAATTTCTTCGCACTCGATATTATTCTGGAAATATTTGCAAATGCTTATCAAATTTAGTTTGGCAAGGTTGCGGCACATAAATAATGGTAAAATTAATGTAATTTAACAAAAATATAAACGAAGTGGACATACATAAATATATGGATCCGTAAAACTTCTTACAAAAATTATTTTAACAGAAAAGTAATAGTAATAAACATTTAATAAATATCTGAGTACACGCTTTTTCTACAAAGTCAGATTTATAATTGAGCAAACACACCCACTTGATGCTCAATCACAAGACTGACTTTATGTTTCAAAAATCAGTTCCTTAGCGTTTGATTTTTGTTTTTGGTATGAAATTGACTAGAGCACAGTATGTGGGAATTCAAAAAAAAACCGATTTATAAATCATGTTTAAACTAAAATATTAATAAACAAAAATTAAACGAGTAAGTCATATGGCATTGGTTTCATCTTCTCGGAAAAAGGTCGATGTGTTGCAGTTGATGTATTACATGCAAGCCATATTTATGACGTCTTTTAATTTTCGACAAAGCCACTGATAAATAGATTTTAGTTACTCTTTTTGCTGTCTTTAACTTCACCTTCCTTCGCTTGACCACGTCCCAGAATCTTTGCTAAGCTATCCCAAATTCCACCAAAGAAGATAGCACTAAAGAGGTTCTCAAATGGCAGGAAAGGATCGTGTATGCCCAACAGTATGGAAGATAATTTGAAATATACTAAAAATATAACAATGCCGAAATAAACCAATGCATGTGGTGCTGAAATCCAATCTGTCTTTTTATCCAATACAAATATGATAGAAGCTAGCAAAGATGCTTTTGTGTAGCTGAAACATTAACATTAAAATGTTAGTTATACATTTTTTTGTAAATAATTTAAAAAAGGCTTACAATGAAGGCTGCATAAATTCCATAGCTGTAGGTGTCCAGGCACCGCGAATCAGTCTCTCAAGCAATTTGGTGAAACCAGCACCGTTGCCTTTCAGAGTGCCAATTATGATCATAATTATCCACGCATTTGGATATAATTTGGCAGCATGTGAGACACCATCATAAACTTTCTTAGCACGATATATTTCTTTCATAGCACTTGCTACAACTTTAATGGGGAGGAATTTTCCGAACTTGTAGCCAATGTCAAAGGGTGTGTAGAAAACAAGGTACCTATCCATGCAAATGTAAAAACAAACTATACATAAAAAATTTTTAATTTTTAAATATACTAATTGATAACTCACCAAACCACGGTTCCGACCAATAATTGGGGTGTGTTTTTCAAAGGCGCTAATATAGGTTCTCCAAGCAATGCATTTGCCACCATACCCCCTGAGAAAATCACTAGCATAGTGGACAGCCAACAAGCAAGCGGATGTTTTCGTGAAAATGATTGTGCATTTGAGCCAAGATCTTCTCTCACAGCCAGTGCAGCAAGTAGACTGTGTGCAATGTCAAAGTATGGAAACATTTTCAGCTTTATGACCTGATTGGCCATATCCAAGAATGCTTCTGGATCCATCTTGTTGACAAACTGAAAAATCCATTTGAATACAATTTTTAATTTTAAACTGCACAAAATTTCAATGATAAATTAAGCCGGTATTATATATAGTTGGAAAAAGTTAGTACTACGGATATATTTTTTAAAGACTATGAACAATTCTGGTACACCTCAATGCTGGGAAAACGCTAAAAATAGAATTTTCGGATCTCTTTTTTTTTTAGAAAACTGGCACAATGCTCTTGATACAATTATATAAGCTGAGACGTACATTCAAAAGGTAAACGTGTATCAAGAAACTATTACTTTAAGTTACTACTAGTATTAATCAAATTCTTTGTATTAATTATTTTTCCTGAATTAAATTACTTTTTCCCTTAGCCGTTCACGTTATTCCTCTACAGACCAATTCGCAACACAAAAAAAGACATCACTGGAAGTGTGTCCATTTGAATTTCTGAGAGTGCTGCCATTGTGTACAAACATTGATTGTTTTACAGCACTAAACTCATTCATAGCAGTAGTCGTTTCGTTCTAACAAATTGTAATACCTGTCAAACTTTTTTGCGGCGAAGACAATTTTGGCGAAAGAAACTTTCAAAGAACGCTGGACGCGTCTATTTTGCCCAATAAAAAATTACGCTATTTTCAATGGCGAAAGTCTAGAAATTAGTTAAAAAATGTTATTTGATCTATATAAAGTTGGAAATCAATATAATACTTGTTGTGGATTACCAAACAAATATTTATGCTAGGAAGAGTTTCGAATTATATGGGGATCTGTAAGTAATTTTAACGCCGAAAAGGCGGTTTTTTATAAAGTAGTTACTAAAAATAGTTCTAATTGCAGCCTGTGTCGTGGTACATATGTGTAAAAATGGATACTTTATTCGATCTACTAAAAGCGGCTCCATCGGTAAATGCTAAAGACCTGCAGCCTAAGAAAACCGGGGACTTAGGAACTGTTACCAAGAGGTCACCTTCTCCCGAACCACTTCAGGAGACACAAACGTCAAATAAAATTAAAAAAATTGATGATAAGCTTATCGAAGAGCCGGACTTTCAGAATGCATCTATGTCAACGCCATCTAAATTCGACATTAAGTCTAGTCTGACTTCTCCAGGCATTCGGCGTGAATCTATGCCACCTCCGGATACTAATTTCGTAACCAAGAACATTAATAAAAGTCGTAGTCTGTCTCCCCCTAAAGGTTTATTGGTAAAACCGTTGAAAGTTCTTGTGGAAAGAAAGAAAATTGAAGAATTTTCCATTGGCAAAAGCTTCAAATCTAATAAAACATCAAAGCCGAATTCTACTGCTAAACGACAAAGTCAAGAAAATCGTTCTTCATCCACTTTAAAGAATGGGGAAAAGTCCGCGAAAAAAGCAACGCCCACAAAGGCTCAACAGAAGCTATTTGATTCGGACGTAATTATAAAACCACAAAAACTACCCAAATTTAATGTGAAAACTTGTAAAGTTAGGTTGCTGCGTCAAGATTTATCAAAACTTCAAAATGAATTTCTCATCAAAAGGAAAGATCAGAAGAAAGCTAAGAATTTGTCTCCTAAAACTATTAATAACCGTAAAAAAAGTAGTTCGTCATCTCCAGAAAAGCTGTCGCCTTCAAAACGAGCCCGACAAACTTTTGAAAAGGAAACAAATAGAAGAGAATTTTTTATAAAATTACATTCTTTTGCAAAAACATCAAAGTCAAAAGTAAAAACAGAAAAAGTAACAAAATTCTCTCCCGGGTCTATTGCAAAGCGAGTTAACGCAGCCGCGGCAGTTTCAAGTACGAAACCTACCAAGTTTACTAGAACACAACTTATAAGAATGTATGGCAAGCGGGTATTTTGCTCCCGCGTTAAGATCGAACGTTGTTCTCATCCGATGATGCTAATATTCGAATCAAATGCCCGCGCCCGCCGTCTTCAAGCCAAACGCTCAAAATCCAAAAATTTGTCGGTGTCTTTTCGTGAACAAGTTGAAATATTTGGCGATAGTAGTGATTCAGAGGAACCCGAGGTTAATCAGACTAGTGATATAGATCTACCATCTACATCACAAGCAGCACTGAAATCATCCAATTCTAGCATTACTTCGCTTACTGCCACCCCAGCACGCCTAAAGAAAGTAGAAAATGGCAAAGTAGTAGACGATATTTTACTCGATCCATCTCTATTTGTTGCACCAACGGTTTCTAGCACACCATATGTCTCGCCTGGGCGAAAGAAGCGTGAGAAAAAATCATTCAGTCCTTTAAAAGGTGATGGTGCGCCTAGCCCACGTAAGGAGCAGCTGAAATTGGCAAATGAGAAAATGCCCCCAAGTAGTTTGAGACGATTAACTGCAGACGAGGTCGACGAGGAGGATGATGAAGACGACGAATGTGAATATATAGGTAAGCATAATGAAGGTATAATTTATTTGAATCTGCTTTCGGAACATCTTTAAAATTTTAAATTCTTTTCGGAAGTGCCCATCGAAATACCTGAGCGACGCATATCACGAACAAGCTCTACAAATGCAATTGATGACAATGTCGAAAAACAAGCGGATGAGGTGTTGCAACATGACTCATTGACAGCAGAATTTTCAGATATCGTTGAAAATAAAACAACTGAACAAGACTCCTCAAGAGAAAGTTTTGCATCCGCTGTGGGACACCCCAGTACTGGTATTAGTGATGAGCTACATTTGGATAATACTACAGCTGAAAATACAACAAATGGCGCAATTGATAAAATGGACACTGAACAAATCGTTACCGACGTGGCGATTGAACCTACCTGTGCAGGCTATAGAAGCTCCGTCACAAAAGAACCCACTGAACTTACTCTAGATTTAGTATCGCCTTCACAGTCATTAAACTCATTAAACGACATTGTCGGCACAATTATAAATGATGTTGGTGTTAATAGAACAAATAGTCCGAAAGAAACAACAAAGGACAGCGAGTCGTTGTTGTCAAACTGTATAAGTGGCACTGAAGTCGACAACAGCGACAGAAGAGATTCCGAGGAACTCGCTTTTGACGAACCAAAATTGCGAAATACCTTAGACAATGATATATCCTTACAATTGTTCGCTGATGGTGAGTAAACATGTTTATTTGTGAAAAACTACATTTTGTTTTTAAATACCTATTAAGTAGTTATTTTCATTATAGCTTCGGGATATATTATATCAAACACGTTTTTATTTCAGATGATAACACAGCTAACTCGAATTTCTTAGAAGCCAACGCAATAAAGGATAGTGAAATTGTAGACGGAATTGTACAGGAACGTATCGATGAAATTTCAAAAGATAAGCACTCTGGTTCGCCTAATGAAGCAAATACAAACATAAGCTCCAAAGCGAAAGTCGAGTGATAATCTAGTATGGATGCTAATATGTAATCTTAAGGAAGAATTTGCAAATTTTTTTTTTTTTAATTTTAATTCTGTTTTTAATTAAATTATTGATTTAACATTTTGATTGTATGTTGTCAGTGCGGTGTAAATAGTACCCGCTAGTTTGATCAAATTATTTCTAAGTATTGATATCTATTGGTTAATTTTGAAAAAAAAACCGCAAATTAAAGTCTACGTGCGACATTTTGTTACTTATCAAAGTTTTTACAGCGCTTATTGTCGTTAGTGGAGACTTTAAGTGCCTTTTCTGTTCAAAACGATCAAATGGTCGTTTATCATACCCTCATTCGGGTTGCTTCTCTTTAATGTACATATATATATATACATTTATAAAATTAGATTAATACTTCGTATAGATTAAAGTTAATTGAAGTAATTCAAACAAAAACAATTGTACCGATTTGCTAATCATGCACAATTTGCTATAAAATTTTCAAATAAAAATTGAATTACAAAAAAAAAAAAAAAATTATTTCATAATGTGCATAGATGTTATCCAGAAGGCTAGAGATCATTATTAGAGTAATTATGGAGTGGGCTCATGCCAGTATAATAATACTGCACTTTACTTTCCACTGAAGGAGATTTTGTTAATAATGAATTAGGAAGTTTCTTCCCAAATACAGAAGCCAGAATAATATTTTTATACTGAAATATTTGGATAAAATTCGAACTTAGGTTGGATTATAATTCTAAGGTAATATATAAATGTCAGCTACTTTTAATAAATTTATACATATTAGGGTTAATTACATAACATGTTTTGTTGTTAGACATCGTGATCACCCCTGTGGCATGACTGTGGCGAATTCAAAGCAAACAATAATAACAAGCTAAAAGTGTTACTGCGACCTGCAGTTTTAAACTGCGGATCAACTGATGGATTTTTATCAGACTTTAATTTCATATGATAAATGGCGACCAAACCAAACCGAATCCGCCATTAAGAAGAAAAACTTTCTTCAACTTTCCATTTTCGTAGGCTTAGGTTTGGAATCTATAACCTTCCGAATTGCAGTTTCTGGAGCGGTTTGCCATCGCCCTAAGAGCAGACAAGGGTAGTCTATGTCATAGAGGGCATCTAACGGCAGTTCCAGAAAACAAGCACACTCGATGAGCTTGGACCAAAGGGTTAGGTGAGTCAAATGAATGCCATGCAAAGCGCGTTTTTTTTCGATGTCGAGCAAACGTTGAGCTTATGGGAATTGAGTCTGGATTAAGAAGTTAAGCCAATTGTCCAGATCTCAAGAAGCTCGGGATCTTCATCTACTATAGGTAATAGCCGAGATTCGATTACGCCGTTTGCTAAGGTTTCTAAAATCTAAAATGATGAAATATCAATAGAAAAGTATAATGTAAAGTAACGAAAATAATTTGTATGCATCTAGATCTAAAATAAATTTGTAAAAAGAAAATATAAATAAACGCTACACAGATAGTGGAGTTCCTTATACGTGGACCAGTGTTATGTTAGTTGCTTTAACGTTGATATATATCCAAGGCGTCTTTAAAACACGTTCATAGAAACAGAGTTATGCAAGGTGTTTATTGAATTTTGGGTGAATGGCGTACAGGTGCATTCCGTAGCGTGCTGTTGTAACGGTTTGCCAAGCCCCATCTTGGTACAGTAAAGTTAGTCTATGTCGACTAGATATTCTAAAGGGTGTTGACGATATAGCGACGAAAGGCCGCCGAGATAGTAGTTTACTTTCGAATAAAAATTTTCAATATCTTGCCCAGACACTAATATCGAGTAGCCATTGGCATATGTGATCAGAGAAACTCCTCTGCTGGCAGAATTAGCTTCGAAATGTGAAAATTACACATTTGGGTGCAACGAAGCTTAGTCCCGCTTGTAGTTATGCAGTTATATTCGCAGGCTACACTCAATTCCTACTCAAGCATCCATGTTGCACATTCTGGAAACATGAGCAACCATTGTGCAATATGCAGTAAGAAGCCTCGAGTCACTAGGGTCTAATTGGCAGCGTCTGTTCACTAAGTCGCTCGATATATAAACGTATAAAAAAATTTAACAAACTTATCTAGTAGAGGTGTGGGCTGGGTTTGGGAGACTCCACCTTTGACCACCGTAAACGTATTAAAAACTATGAGCATACACCCGGAATGTCCGGTTCCGCAGTTGGGAAATCGCTACGCAACGCAGCTGGTTGGTGTTCTCTAAAATCTAAATGCTCACATCGATGACATCCTAGATAATCGTTAGACGGAGACCAGTACGTTCTTGTGACATTTACTAGAGCGGTCATACAAAGGATAGCGATTTCGGTGTTGAATTCGTGATGGAAGAGATATTCAGTCGCCGAGCTCTGGCAATTACCCCCGTAGATGAATGCCTCGCAAACAATCCGCGTCAAACTGAAGTTCTTGAGCATATTGCTAACTTCCACCCACCTCCCAATGGAAAAAAAGCGATTGATGCGTTCAAGGGTACCTGGAGCGTACTTATGAGCGCTTGGCCACGATGTCGTTACCTTAACGCCAGATTGTTCCAACAAGGCATCTCCGGCACAACTCTTGGAAAGCTCAGCCTTCATAACAAAAAATCCCCTAAATGGGTTGAAGTTGATCGACTTCCTTCACGAGAAACCAAAATATGGTTGTCTCTAGTAGTAGATTCCAGCACAAAGAAAATACATATAAACGACGCTTTGTAACCGCTGATTTTGGACCGAGTTTCTCTTCATAATTATGGTATGCTTCTTGATGTTTTCCAATAAATAAAGGGGCTAACGGTTTACTCTGCGCCGCCTCCCAACGGCCGATGGATTTTCATGGGGAGATTTTATTTCATCTCAGAAATACATTCAGAGGGCTGGACATTCACTGTCCCTCCATTTGAAACGACTTTTTTTATTGAACACATTCACACTCACATCTCTGTATCTCTGAAACCATACTATCGATTGGTTGAATTGTGATAAATACATATGAATGACGTTAGGCATTGTAATAAGTTTCCAATAAAATTTTTATCATAACGGTCTCATTGTTTACATTTAAGGGGCACGCCTAGTGTGTAATTTCAAAATATCGATCTGTTTTCATATTTCTGTAGATTGCTCCAATAAAAGTAACATATTAAAATTTTAAATCGATATATCAAATGGTTTTTGAGTTATAGCAATTTAAAGAGCAGCCGCTCTGCAGCTAGAGAGTCTCATAGCTACGAGTGAAAACGATCGAAACAGCATTTTCCGAATTTGCTGCCGTGATTACGCAAAAACAAATGAATCGAATTTTTTTTTACATTTTTTCTATATATAGTTCTCCGTACAATGATCTATCGATTTTTAATCTGATCCAAAAATCGAATTTCGGCAGGCCAAAAACGACCAAAATTTTGGGTAAAATTCGACTATTTTTTTTAAAACGCCGCCATATTTTTTTTTTTTTTTTTTTTTTTTTATCGAATATCATTGTACAGACAATATTATCTTGTTTAACGAGTATTTTTTTTTTTTGATTTCATCAACGGAGAAAGCCGGAATCACTGCAGCAGTGAAGGACCTTCTTTTTTCGCGCCGTTGGAGATCGACTATAACTTAAAAAATATTTAATTTTTTTCTTCAAAAATTTCACTGCATATTCGTGAAAAATGTATAAATATATTCTTAAAATTTCGAAATAATTGATAAAGTATTTTTTTTTTAATAAAATTTCCCAAAAATCACCTTTTTTAGGCCATTGCACCAGGTGTGCCCTTTAAGACGTATGGGTCAGCCAGTATGGCAATGAAAAAGTCCATTAATTAATAAGAATATAGTTTAGAATGAAATATTTCAAAATGCCACATTGCATGCGTTTTTGAGAAAGTTTCTCCAATTATTTTTAGGTTAAATACATACATATGTACATATATAGACTCGCTGCCAAGCCGTCTGAATAGCACCTTTTCTTTAAAGTGAAATACTCAACGACAGTTTTAACTTATCCTCCCAAATATAAATTTTAACTCCTCAATTTCTTTTTTGTGGAACGTATGAAAAATAAAAGCCTCTGTTCTATTATACTGACAAATCAAAGTAATTTTTATATATATAATATCAGGAGCATATTTGGAATATCACTTGAGTTCAAACGAATGGATCATTTGCCCAGGTGAATGTATCTTTGATTTCATCTTCCAAAAGACAATAAATATTATCATTTTTCAACTCCTCTACACCCATTGTTTTCCAAAATTCTTTGCAACCATTTTTCCACTGTCTCAAATTGTAGAATCCACAAAATCTATCCTGACTGTCCTTTAGCAAATCCATAAAATATGGAAATATCGCGTCCGATTTCAATTTGGCCAGCATATAGCGAGCTTTCTTACGATTCAAAACATCACCAAGGTCTCCGTAAATTTGTTTAGCACGAGTGAATGCTTTTCGAGCCGGTCCCTTTTCTAATGTATTTGTCGCATGGATTTTTCCAATTGCAACCAACGCTTCTGCTTCTCTGCTGGCCGAACCACATTGTAGCGCATACTTTAAGGCTTCTTGTAGTTTGAGAAGTGCATTGTTATTGTTTTTAGCGCTAAAATCCAAATGATATAAAAATGTGTAAAAGAAAGTTGCACTGAATCTGTTATCTACCTTGTATTCCACAGGCATATTCCCTCATATAAAAATAGTTCGAATAACACTTCGGGATCCGTCACGTTGTTATCCAAATCGATATCGGTCCGTACTTTTTGCAATATTTTAGTAGTTGCAGCAAAATCCTCCGATTGCAGCATGTATTTTGCACGCGATAGTAGGGCTTGAATATATTGTAATTTATTCTTTTCCACGCCGACTTTACAGAAAGGAAAAAATTTTTAAATTTGAATACACAAACAACACTTTTGACACACATAAATCTATAAAAATAAATACAACATCTGCCCTTCTCCTACCACTACTTCGACTGCATCTAAGTAGATTGAAATAATTTCGGCGCCTTCAGCACCTCTTTCGGCCTTAACCACAACTAGAAAAGTGGTTGTGGTTCCGAAAAGGAAGTCCGTATTTGTAACGCGGTTTGCAAAAGATACAACTGCGGACATCATTTTGTCCGAATGGTGCTTTTGTTCGAGAGTTTGATTTAAAGCAAAGAAAGATTAGAAAGAATTTTGCTCAAATACCTATAATAATATTTACACAGCTTAAACTGCGACTATAAAACCTTAGCTTAGCTTAAACCAAATATCTTCAAGTCTGAAGTCTTAGGGAGCAACTTCGAAGATTTTAGAGATGACCGTTTAAATAAAATTTGGTGGTGGAGTACTTATTGATGTTCAAAGACCTTGTCAAATATTTATATAGTTATATCCCACCAAATTCTGTCTTTTCCACTTACTCTCTCCAGTCGTCAATGCTAAAAACATTATATTCCATTACTAAAAAATCTGACAATGTTGTTGTGATAGGCGTTCAATTTATCCTTTGTGTCATACAATTTTAATGACTTTGATCTAATATTTTTGGATGACGTTTCGTCATTTTCTTTGAGTCGCTGTGATCCCTAAGATGGTTGTCATCCATCTCTCGAATGATATTTAGATGTTCTCTCCAATCTTAATTATCCAATGTATAATGGAAACGTGGCAGAAAGCGTTGTTCACTTCTCAAGCTTTTAGAAAATTTTTTCCTTTAACAAATGTGTCGTTCTGTGCTCACCATGCTTTATGGTTCAATAAAGAATTGAATAGCTTGTAAAATAATCAGACTACATTATTCAAGCTCTATAAAAAGTCCGGCGTAAGCTTATTCCGTAGTTAGACAAAAGTATAATATTTTGAATAAGTCGTGTTACAAGAAGTATATGAGAAGAAGACAAAAAAACATTACTTCGGATTCGAAGTCATTCTATAGTTTCGTTAATTCGAAACGTAAGATTTTTGGGCTTCCAACATCTATGAAATCTCTAACGATTGTTTAACGATTTCGCAGACTTTTTCGAATCTAATTATGCGCCGAACACAAACTCAACGGAGCCGTTCATTTACCCTTACTTAATGCCTTCATTTGATTGCATAAAAGTACCACATATATCCGCTGATGTTGTTTATCACCATCTTAATGTTCTAAAGAGCTCATTCACATGCGGATTATCCCTTCTAGTGTACTTAAATTTTGTGCCGAATCTGTATAAAAACCATTGAACAAAAAATATTCAATGCTTCATTAAAACAAAATTTATTCCCTTCTTTGTGGAAAGAGTCATACATTTTACCTCAACATAAATCTGGTAGTAGATCTTCAATAGAGAATTACAGGGGAATAGCAAAGTTATGTTACCTGCAAGAGCGGGCTGATGGGTTCACCAATGCACTCACACGATTTCGGGCAGCACTAACACCTGTGCACATTTTTTGTTTAACTTTCTCTTCTGAGTACATACAAATTGAAGAAGAATGCAGTTGAACGGATTATCCGATTTTCTTTGTTCCTATTTTCGAGTAGAACACCGTTTTTTATCTTTTTCTTTTTCTCAAAAATATTCAACGAAACTTTGCGAGATACAACTGCATTAAAATATTGATAACATTATGATTCGAAAATTATTTTTTAATTTTACTTAAATGTCTTTATACTACAAAGGAGCTGCGAAGGCGTTCGTGGAGCTAAGGAGCTGCTATTAAAGACTTCTGTATATGCGGTTTTGCTTATATTTTGCTAATTTTTGAAAACGAATTTATTGTTGTATTGATATTTCTTTTGTATGCTATGTATGTAAACCATTCACTTGATTTATGTTAAATATTGAAATAAAGACTGAATCTTAATAATTCTTGTATGTATGTATATATGTAGGAAAAATTTTTGTCAAAACTGATTTTCTTCGGCGTCAAAAGTGTCGCTCAGCTGTGTTCGGTTTGTCCGACAAGGATGACAAAAATGCAAAAAGAAACGAAGAGAGAATAACATACACGTATACAAAAGTAAGCATCACGTTTGTCATTTCGGCCTTAAGAAAGTGATAGGAAAATCGTTCTACGAGCTTATGGGATATGTCGTCATACATTCCTGACATATGTTGGCTCAAATGATCGGAAGCCTTCTTGCAGGGTTTTATCCCCGAAATTTTCGAAACTATTATAACTGAACTACTGGCCTATTCATTGTCATCAATTATAGACATCTCATACCATGTAAAGCCAAATCTACCCTATCGAACACACTAAAATTCACCAACCATGTCAGTTATGGTTTCGAAAATGGCCATCAAACAGATGTTATCTACATTGACTTCAGCGATCAAGGTCTTTCATTCTTTACTTCACCTTAAACACGATCATTTGGGGTTTCCCCAAATCCCTTCACAAGTGGATTTCATTGTAGTTGATTGGTAGAAAAAAAAGTAATTTTTAAATATTGCTCATCACGCGAAATAGTAGTAACATCCGGTGTTTCTCAGTCACCTCCGCCCGTTACTCTTCCTTATATGCAGCAACGACCTTTCAAATGTGGTTCTTCATTCTAAAATACTCATGTACGCGGAGGACGTCAAGCTCTTCATTCTATTGAAGATAGAGAGCTTTTGCAACTTGTCCCTAAATTTAAATAAGTGAAAATATATGTGTTTCTCCAGAAAATCTTTCCAATTCATTGCCTATATGATGCATAATCACAGTGTTGAACAAGTTACTGACTTCATTGATTTAGGTGTCACAATGGACCCTAAGCTAGATTTCAGAAATCATATAAATGTTTGTCCTAATAAGGCATTGACGCCTTATGCCTTATCAGCTTTCATTAAACGCTGGAGTTCAATTACCTATATATTACCTGGTTACTCTCGACCTTACTTGTTAGGCCCATTTTGGAATGTGGCTTAGTTGAATGGAGTCCGCACTATCAATTGTATAGGGATAAATTGGAGTCTGTACAAAAGTAATTCCTGCTATTCGCGATATGAAATTTAAACTGGGATGAACATGTCTTCCTACAAAAGTCGTATACGGCTCATTAATCTGCCTACACTTCACAATTGTAGAAAGATGCTTTGAGTTTATCTTAACCATCCCTGAAAAATCATATAGAAACTTTAGGCCCTTTTCATTGTATTCATGCGGAAGAAACTTTGAAATTCACGACCTGTTTAGATCTCTGTGCAACGACTTTAACAAACATTGATTCCTCTGACTCGCTTTTCTCTATCAAAACCTACTTACTGAGTGCTTTAAATAATTAAGTAACTTCCTTCTGATGTAGCTGTTAGTGCAAAAGGTAAGTGTAACCGCAATCCGGACAGTTCCTGGTTTTCGGTCAACGATCTGTTGGATTTTTCGATTATTCCTCAAACGTGCCTATTGATCGGTTGGGCGGGAGGTGGGTAACGTTGGGTTGGTCGTAAAAAAAGGTTATAATGTCCAGGCGGATATTAAACTTGTTGATGCTGGCACATACATATGTACATCACCAATTCAATTCAATATTGAATAAACTTTTCCTAAAAACTTTCACTTTTCCTTCACTTTGAAATTAAACAAAAAGCCAGTGAAACAGAAAACTGTCAAAATGAGTGCCTTGTGAATATGATAATTCGGACAGATAATTGAATGGCACAATATACATATTTATTTTAAATACATTGTATCTTTTATACCACTCAAAGCAGGATTTTAGGAATAACCCAGCGTTACCCACCTCCTGCCCAACCAGCTGAAGGGTAAGCGAAAAATGCAACAGCCCGCTGACGGAAAGCCAGTGACAATCCGGACTGCCCTTAACTCGAAACCAATAGCGGAAGGTGGAAACATCGAAGAAGGAGAAGGAAATCACTTAATCATTTAAGACTTTTAGTAAGTAGGTTTTGATACAGAAAAACCAGTCAGAGGAATCAATGCTGGCGAGGTGAGTATTAAAATCGTTGCACAAATATCTAAAAGGGTCATACATTTCAAAGTTTGTTCTGCATTAACACAATGAAAGGCGCCTAAAGTGTCTAGATGATCTTAAAATGATTGAATATATTAACTGGAAATAATGTCAAATAAAGGGTGACTTTTTAGCTTTTATCTCTTGCGCAACACTGGTTTAAACAGCTGATGCGCGTTTCGTGCTTTTTATCACTCTCAAACATCTTCAGTTTGGTTTATAATTTAACCATGAATCGTCTTACAAACGAACAACGCTTGCAAATTATTGAATTTTTTGTACCAAAATGCGTGCTCCGTTGAGAAAGTTCATCGCGCGCTTTTTTATCGAAAAATTGTGTTCAGCGACGAAGCTCATTTTTGACTTAATGGGTGCGTAAATAAGAAGAATTGTCGATTTCGGAGTGAAGATCAGTCAGAAGCATTGCAAGAGCTACCAATGCATTCAGAAAAAGTCACAGTTTGGTGCGGTTTATGGTCTAGAGGCATCATTGGAAAGTACTTCTTCAAAGATAATACGAATCGTAACGTAACTGTGAATGGTGAGTGCTATCGTGAGATGATATCGAACTGTTTTTTGCCCGAAATACAAGAGCTTGACATGACTTGGTTTCAACAAGACGGTGCCACATGCCACAAGCACGCCTTATAATAGGTTTATTGAGAGGCAAGTTTGGTGTACATTTTATTTCACGTTTGGGATCGGTCGATTGGCCGTCTGGTTCGTGAGGTATAATGCATTTAGACTATTTTTTGTGGAGCTGTGTTAAATCTAGTCTATACAGACAAGCCCTCTTCAGTAGACGCATTGGAGGACAACAGTGAAGCATTTATTCGTGAGATACCGTCCGAAATGTTGGAAAGAGTATGCCAAAATTAGACTAAGTGGATGAACCATTTGAGGCGCAGTCACGGTCAAAGTTTGCATGATATAATCTTCAAACATTTAAATCTATGGACTGGACTATCTATTCAAATAAAGATTTTGTGCATTTTCCTAAACTTTTTGTGTTTTTTTTTAAATTTACCTATAGATCATAAAAACTCACCCTTTACTTAATATTAGTTTTCACTAAATGCTTTATATCGTCATTTGGGAATCTCTTTTAAATTACTTATATTTACTTACTTTCAGCAAGAGTTATTGCAGCTTTGTGCGTTAACTCCTCAGCAGCTTTGGGATCCTGTTCGGCTACAGCCGCTGCATAGCGCAACAATAATCCAGCAAGCTCACGTCCTGTTACCAAGTGCATCGTCGGGTAAATGCCCCACTCCCGGTCCGTTTTAAACTCGGAGACCCACTCTTCATTCCTACTCAGTATCATAGCTTTTTCCATAAACTTGATTGCATTTTTTAAGGTATTTTCTGTAGCAAAGTTACTTGAAATTAATAAAACGTAAATATACTCGTATAAATATATTTATCCTCTACGAATACCAACCACTCAAGCCGAAATATTTTGCAGTTTTGAAATAGATGCGTGCTATTGCCTCTCCCGCATTATGCTCTTTGATTCCTTCGATATGTTCGGAAATTGGTATTATTATACTATAAATATCTTCCAGCAGCCAACCAAACTTAATTTTATGCGGTTCCACCAACTGAATTATTTGATATAGACAATTTGCTGTTGTTTTGTACCTTTGCTTTTTACCCAAAATGTGCACATTCTCCGCAACTCGTATGTTCTCAAATAAAGCCATTAACAGCTCAGTGTTATCGCAGACGCGATCTCTTATGACCTCCGTCTCATAAAAGAAATTCTCCTTTTCCGCCAAATTTTTGAGATGACTAGCCCCTATTTTGCAGCCCTCTTCATATAGCTCTTTGACCAGTGCGCAATAAATCGGTCCTTTGAGACGACGTGCTTGAATGTAATCGAGTGCGACGAGCTGGGACCGAATTTGTTCGCGATTAAAGAAAACTATGGACTTGCGATTCGGCATCGGCATATTTTCACTGCGTGCTGTTACAATAATTAGAGCTCGAGTGTTTATGTCTATCGTCCTTACTGTTAGTCAAATTGTTTAAGTCACAGTCTACGTCCGTCGGCGCTAGTCTGTTATTCGGTATTGATATATAAAAAATATAAATTTGTATACGTCAATTTCGAAATATTTTCGGATAATTAAAAAAAAGAACATTCTATCACTGACTTTTGTGTAATAAAGCTGAAGCTCCATAGCAGGATTTTCAAACGCTTTGGCTATAGCAACTTATAAGTATGCCTTCCTTGATGTTAATCTCACCTGTGAGAGAAAATTGGCAGCCTATCTCGCAACTTTGCGATTACCACTACATATGCGAGAGGGCATAGATACAAGATGCTTGAGAAATGCTCAAAAATTTAACGTAAGGATACGGCGACTCAAGAAGGTTTCTTGGAGGATCCAGAGAGGGGATGTTTTGACTGATGCGAGATGGTGAATCGGGTACGCTATAACGGTCGAAGGGATGCGTCATTGTTCGACTATGAAGAAGTTCAAATAGCAATTCCCTTTTGCCAGCCGATCTCATCGAGGGCATTGTGCGAAATGCTAGAGCCCACCGTCAACAAGCTGATTGAACCTAATCAGTGAGGTTTTCATCAGACTTGATAGCAAAGTGTTCTGGTAGTGAACGAGGAGGAGACAAAATATCTCCTGTCATCGAACAAACAGTCATCGCATTCTCGACTCGACTTCCACGTCACTGTTGAAATTTATAACTTCGGGGTCTTAGATAGCTTCGTCTATCTTGGAACCAGTATTAACACCAACAACAATGTCACTCTTGCCAACAGATGCTACTTTGGACTGAGTAGGCAATTGGAAAGTAAAGTCCTCTCTCTCAAGAGAAAGAGTTTGCGTAAGTTTTACGGGTTTCTGCGCATTGACAACAGCGAACAGGGAAAGCGAACACTTTGAAAGTCTTCGATGCAGTACACCCCGGTGAAAGCAGTAGAAAATAAAGCACCACTCTCTTGGAAAGATCTGGTGTCAACTAGCGTAAAGAAGGAAAGATTGGCGCAGAACATTTGATTAGAGACCGCCATTACCTGATAAAGTTTCTATACCGAAGTAGATTTAGTAAATATATAGGAATATTTATGGGATTGGCACAGGGAGTGTCTGGAAAACGTCACCATTTGAAATGATTTTCTACTCTATCTGAATCTCGCCATCCAAAGTTGAGTTCTAGAAAGTGTTTTACCCGATGGTTGTACTAAACCTGCCATTATCAAAAGAATACACACTTTTGAGCAAGATTTCGCTTAAATCCATGGGATTGATGTCATCTAAGGAGACAGCAATGAAATGTGATATTCTGATAGATTCTGATCAGAGGAAGAAGGTTGTTAGGTAGATAGTTGGTTTAAGGTGGCATGCAATGAGAAGTCTTGAGGTCCATTCGGAAGGATCGTAAGTCTTACGCAAAACCTTTCCCTCGAAAACTCTTAACGCCGACTCTTCGGATATTGTCATCGTCCATACGTCCGCACCATATAGCAGAACCGGTGTAATGAGGGACTAGTAGAGCTGGGTTTCCGTTCGTCGGGAAAGGACTTTACTTTTCAAATGCCTATTAAGTCAAAAGTACCACCTGTTGGCAAAAGAGCTTCTGTGCTGGATTTTAAGGCTGACATTCAATATACGAAATTATCCACGATCTCGGAGTTATGATTGTCGTGAGAGCAGAGTCTCGAATGCGCTGACTGTTGTTTGTTTGATGACAGGAGATACTTCGTCTTGCCCTCATTCACTTCCAAATCCATTCGCTTCGCTTGTTTATCAAGTCCGGAGAAAGCCAAACTCACGGCGCGGCTGTTGGGGACAATAATTTCGATATCATCAGCGTACGCCAGCAGCTGTAGACTCTTATTGAAGATTACACCTTCTCTATTCATCTCTACAGCTCGTATTATTTTCTCCAGCGAAAAATTAAAAAAGTCACACAATAAAGAGTCACTCTGTCTGAAACCTCGTTTGGTATCGAACGGCTCGGGATCCATCATTCTGACGCAGGTTTTAGTGCTGATTAAGCCAGTTGTGTAATAAGTTTTGCGTGGATACCAATTTCAGATATAGTGACGTAGGGCCAGCTCTTTTTCATCCTATGGATGGCTGCTTTATAAAGACAAGAGGTGGTGCGTATTGATTCTTTTTCACCGGTCGTTTCCAAGATTTGGCGCCTGATGAGTAATCTGGTCAATTGTTGACTTACCATGAAAGGTGCTTCTGGCTCTGGCTTTCGTTTTGAACTCAGATATGAAATAATTTTATTCGGTGTAACATTTTTATTGTTGCATTGTATGATATGACAGTAATAAAAATACATATAAATACTTATATATATAAACATAATTAAAACTCTCGTAACAAGCAGTATAACGGATCTGTATCCTTCACAACCCATATGCCCTGTGGTGAGGACCTCCGTGAACCGTCTGACGGTTTTCGCGCTTGCATTATTATTAAATGTTTAGCTCTTTGTGTGGCATCACTTCTTTCTACATCCTCCGCTGCGCTACTGTTAGAAATGTTGGTAGACTCATACAGCTCCTCTTCCATTTCTTCTGCTTCAGTTAATGGCGTATCATAATTACTGTATAAATTATCTGCAACAACGCGTTCTAAATCATTCTCCTCTTCACTACTACTTCTAGAGCTTTCCTGAACAGTTTCATTTTCCGATTCTTTTATTTTTACAAAGGAAGCTCGTGTGTTGAGAACAAGATTATATAGTTTATATAGGTTTTGAGAAGAGAACTTCGATATGTTACTCAAAGTGTTTTGCTTTATATAGCCAACTTGATTGACCTCAGTCCAAAAACGTTCGCAAAGAGTTTTCCAACGCCTCAGTCTATAAAAATCACAATACGTCTGTGATCTTATCACCTTCATCAAATCTGGTTGAATTAATTGTGATCTTAACGCAGCGATCCTATACTTCGAGCTAAGGACTTTCGCATAGTTGCCTTGATGATCGTATTGAATTTTAGCCAGCTCAAATGCCAAACGTGCTCTTACCTCTCCACCTTGTATAAGACGTTGGGCATGGCCGACTTCCACTAGAACATCGGCCTCTGCTTGCCAATGGTTATCCTTTCGACATAATTCCAATGCGTGAGAGAGAGTCTCAATAGCAGTAATCGGCTGATTCAAGCTGTTTATATAAATGGACGAAGAAGTTACTTACATAAAATAACAAATAACTAAATTTAAATATTTATGGTTTATCGAATAACGCGTCGAAGAAGAAAGAGTGAGAGCAATAAAATCCAAAAGCTTACTAGTAGATTTATATATGCTACAAAAATTGGAGATTTTAGAGTAAAATTCAAAGCTTCTGACCCATTGTGGCGTGCCATTCGTCTGGAGTTCAGTTTGCGACTTACAAAACTCGTTAGATCGTACTTACCAATATAGAGTGACACCAAGATCTTTTAGTAAATCGATTTGGTATTGCAGAAACTCCGGACCCTCTGCTTTCATTACACTTTCCTTTAATAGAACTAATTCTCTGAATGCCCGGTCATATCTGTCAGCCTCCATAAGTATCTCGATCTTTGCCAGAAATGCTTTAAAAGCAACTAATTTGTGTTCTTGTATGCCCACTGAAGATCACAAGTTATATACCTAATTACGATAAACATCTGTCTTTCGAGTGATGTGGTTGTAATGCGGATAAATACCTTTAGCAATAGCTTTAATAGCCTTCTGGGTACGTTTCAGAGCATATTTTCGTGTAATGCCTGGTTCCTTTGCTTTGCACATATATATATTTGCCATTAAACTGCTCAGAGCTGCATGCAGTGTGCGAAACATTTCAGTTTCGGGTATAGTGTCCGGTTTCCAACCTTCACCGCAAGCAGCCTCTAAAGCTATGGGTAAAATGGACGTAGCTCGCTGTAGATCATTTGCTATTTAAAAAATGAAAAAATAAATTATTCAAAATATTCAGATGTTAATATAAACCTACGCTTTCCTTTCTGCATCAGATGTTTAGCATACTTGAACACAAATCTGGTAGATTGTTCCTTGGCTAAGAGATTATCTGTTGTAGGTTCAAGCATATATTTGGCTATAATGCTGTATAACTGTTCCGTCAACCATTGGTATTTCTGTTTCTCTGCAATTCCTATCGTCTGGTAGAGCAATCTTCTACACACATATACACCGTTCTTCTTGTCCAACTGGTAAATTTGCTCTGCGGCTTTTACGTTTTCAACCAGCTGCAATAGAAAATCCATATTTTCGTGAACGTAATGTATTTCATGTTTCCTTTCGATCAGCGTCTGCTCCATGTTTACTAAACATTCGAAATGATGTCCTGATATAAAACATCCATCCTGATAAAATCCTCTACCTAGCACCTTATAAATTGGGCCCTTAATGCGTTGCAGTCTACCAAGCTCACTTTTCTGGCCAAATTTCGCATCTGTATCAGTGCAGGCATGCGCATAAATTGCTGGCGTCGGTATGGGATCAGGCATGATGGCAGAAAAATATTATATTATCCACAATGTTTGTCTTGATATGATGAATGAGTTAGTTGTTTTGGGTTTCAGTATGAAACAACCTTAATTAAATCCTTTAAAAATTAAATAAAATATATTAATGTGATTGGAGTTGAGTTTTCGAATTCGCTTAGAGCTTATTTAAACAAAACTAATATAAATTAAATTATGTAATTTTTGGCATTTCGTTGTCAAAAATGGTTGGAAAAGCCTTTCAAAGTACTTTTTTTTCAAAAAATCAAGGTATTTTTCTCAGTAAATATTTTTTTGCTTTGATAGGTATTTAAAAATGATTCCAAATATTTTGACAAAATATTTGTAAAATACAAAGATAAAGTCCTTAAGACTTGTGGTACTCATACTTAATAAAAAAAATTGAGGTCTTACAGTGTAGAATATTAATTTTGAGGTCAGTTATACAATTATTACTATATTTGTATCGATTCGGTGATAAGATTCCAGTTATTTTGAAATTATTTTTCATTATATTTTCATCGAGTTTCTTGACAGCTCCAAGTTAAGGGGCACACCTAGTGTAATGGTCTAAAAAAGGTGATTTTTGGGAATTTTTATTAAAAAAAAAACTTTATCAATTATTTCAAAATTTTAGGAATATATTCATACATGTTTCAAGAATATACAGTGAAATTTTTGAAGAAAAAAAATTAAATATTTTTTGAGTTACAGTCAATCTCCAACGGCGCGAAAAAAGGTATTTCAATGCTGCAGTGATTCCGGCCTTCTCCGTGGATGAAATCTAAACAAAAAAAAAATTCTCTACTAGATAATATTGTCTGTACAATGACCTATGATAAAAAAAAATCAAAACCTGACAATATGGCGGTGTTTTAAAAAAATAGTCGAATTTTACCCAATATTTTTTGATCAGATCAAAAATCGATAGGTCATTGTACGGAGAACTATGTATAGAACATGTGAAAAAAATTCGATAGTGATCGATTCATTTGTTTTTGAGTAATCACGGCGGCAAATTCGGAAAATGCTGTTTCGAGAAAAACGCGTTTGAAGATAAACGATCGTTTTCACTCGTAGCTATGAGACTCTCTATCTACAGAGCGGCTGCTCTTTAAATTGCTATAACTCAAAAACTATTTGAGATATCGATGTTATGTTTAAAGGTGTAATCTACCGAAATATGATAAAAGTCTTTTTTCGATTTTTTTAAATTTTCACACTAGGTGTGCAGCTTAAGCCCAGAAAATAAATTTTTAGAGTTTTAAGTGGCACTTTGCATCGTAATGCTGTAAAAGGAAAGCAGCTCCAAATGATTACATTTTTTTTCGCAAGCTATGTCGAGCAAGGTGCGTTCCAAAATAAACAGGACTTTTTGAATCAAACGCCCTCTAGTGGCACCATCTATATATCGACTAGTGCGTTAGAATCTGCCATCCTTTATCGAATTCCAATAATTTCATGACATTTCATTAATTGGAAGTGAAGTTATTGCGTTTTAAATGTCAGTATGTTTTTGGCATCGGTGCGAAATTAAGCTTCGAACAAAGAGCCAACATTAAATTTTGTTTTAAAATTGGTAAAACTTTTACCGAAACGTTTCATTTGATGATTGCCTATCCCGTAGCAGAGTGCACGAGTGGTTTCAACGTTTCCAAATTGGTCGTGAGGATATAAATGACGATGAACATGTGGGCCAACCAATGAACGCATAAAAATCAGCTGAACTCAATATGTGAAATTCATGGAAATAGAATTGAACATCTCCAAAACATCGACTCATCGCATTTTAACCGAAAATTTTCGCTTACAAAAGGTGTGTGCACGGTTTGTTCCACGCAAATTGACGACCAAAAATTGCTCAGAATTCAACATTCGAAGGGCATCATTAAAGAGGCAAAAAAGGCCAAAAACCACATTATGACAATCATCTACTCCCCGTATTCACCTGATATGGCACCGTGCGACTTTTACCTTTTCGGAAAAATGCATTCGCCCATGAAAGGGAACCGTTATGCAGACGTGGAGTCCATTCAAAATGCTTGCACCGGCATACTGGCGGTCAAACCGGGTAACGAGCTAAAACACTCGCTCGACATGCTTTTGGACCGTGCAAAAAGCTGTATTTAAGCAGAAGGAGAATAAAATTATTTAATTTTGCCGATAAAATCATTTGTTCTGTCCTGTCTGTAAAAGTCACCCCAAGATTTTTCTCTCAACAAGCTGATTGGACCTTTTCATTGTGGCTTTAGATCTAGTAAATCAACCATTGACCTTATATTCACTATGCCAAATCTTGGAAAGGACCCGTAAAAAGAGGATCGACACACACCACCTCTTCGCCGATTTTAAAGCAGCCTTTGACAGCACGAAAAGATACCGCCTATATGCCGCTAAGTCTGAATTCGGTATCCCCGCAAAACTTATATGGCTATGTAAACTGAAAAGCCAGAATTCTGAAGGACCTCTTCGAACTGTTCGATACCAAAAGAGTTTTCAGACAAAGTGAGACCTTATCGCGTGATTTTTTTAATTTATTGCTGGCTAAAATAATACGAGCTGCAGAGCTGAATAGAGGACGTACAATCTTCTATAGGGGTGCACAGCTTCTGTCGTACGGCTTCCACTGTTGACTGTCATATCTTTGAGGTCGTATTTAATTTCGTCTATCTTGGAAACAGTATTAACACCAGCAACAACGACAGCCTTGAAATCTAGCGTACAATTACTCTTACCAACAGATGCTACTTTGGACCAGGTAGACAAATTCGAAAGTAAAGTCCTCTCGCGACAAATAAAGGTCAAACTCTACAAGTCGTTCATCGTCATTGTCCTGTTATACGGTGCGGAACTTTGCAATACCCTCTGGTGGAATCACTCCGTTGGAAAGACTAGGTAGAGAGGGACCTGGCCGTACTTGGTATTTCCAACCAGCACCCAAACAGCAGAGAGAAGGAATAAATGACGCAATATTGTTACCTCAACTAAAATCACGAAAATGGTCTACGCAAGTTAAGAAGAAGAAGAGTTTTGCTATGCATCTTCTAAAATAGTTTTTTCTTCAACTCGAATTTAGAGCTTCGTCTTTCATAAGATCAACGTTACATGCAATTTCACGGCTTCTATGTTTACTTCAAATGACTGACGGATGAACCCATAGCCTAAACCACTGGCTTTAGAGACCTGAAACTTTTAGGGTGTGTTCTGCGTAAAATGTGTGCTCCGATGGGAAAGGGTCTTCCGGGAAGTGGATTTGGGAACGATCTATTCAAAAAAATTGTAAGCATCGTTTGATTTATTTAAAATTTCCTGCGGTAATAGTTTTAGGCCCGAGTTACCATTGAGAACACTTTTTATGGCGGATAGATTCTATGTTTCGGGTTTCCTTAACTTGTGAAACATATATACGGGCAAATTGTAATGTATGTATATGTAGGAATAATAAAACACTCTTATTTCTTATTCGATGTATATTAAATGTGTATTTATTGAAATTAAAATAGCAACTGTCCTTTTGGTCTTCTGCTACTAGGTCTCGTTCATTCGTTCAGTTAGTATTGCTTATATTCAGTTTGGCAGGGTTATATTTCTTAGTAGTCTTAAGTTGATATTATATTACTAGTAGTCTTTTGTTATGTCCGTCCGCTTCGGGTAGTCAGTCCGTGTTTACCTCCTACATATATTAGAAAAGCTAATTAAAAAAAATTTAAAAAATTATGATATTTAAAAGATTCACTTTATAAAATCTATGTAGCCGTTATGAAAAAATATCAGATATCGGAAATGGGATTCCATTTTCCAAAAATCGTTTTGCCGCTGGTAAATGCTATTCGCCATGTTTTATCATAAGAACATATGGAGATTCTGCACTTTTTATGCTTATATACAATATATGTATGTATGTATGAATTTTAATATCTCAATTGCGATACTCTCGTTATTGAATTTTTAACATCTCTATTGCTTAAGTGGCAGTTACACAAGCTTCATATTATTTTGAAGTCGAAATTAATTTCAGCAATATTTATTATTCCACCGTTCGAAATATGCCTTTCTAAATCAATAACTATTCATAGTAGTCAAGTGGAACGTCAAAATCAATGGTTTTGCGGATAAGCCAATACTCGTATGCATGGATGTATGTACGAGTATGCATGAATGGCAGCTATGATGCGTTGAGATCATTCTCAGATCTCAGATAAATGCGAGCTTCTTCAATGATCATTTTTCATATGAAAATTATAGTGCAAACGGCATGATGAGTGGGCTGTTATAATTAAGAGTTGACACAATCGGCTATAAAATTGGCACAAATAATAATGATGATGCGGTCAATTCAGCTGAGTAAAATTACCATCGAATGTCTAGACAAAGTGCAGACTAAGAGTTTGTTGACCACAGCCGCCATTCACAAAGTTAGTGCATAAAACTACGCAAGAAAATTCAGATATTATTGTCTAGAAAATTATCTGTTAGTCTTGCGCATCTTGTCTTCGGTTATGTTAAATTGTTGTTTAACTGCTTTGCCGGCATCGTGCGGCTTAGAAATACCATCATCAAACGGATAGCTGACCAATTACTTTTGGATTTAACAAGTGGCTGAAGTAAACAAATTATGTAAATAGTACTTTTTTGTATGGTTAATATCATTATTTCTTTTATAGAGAAGTATCGGTATTATAACTCTAGGCTGATGAACGTAAAAAATGGAAGATTCAAAATAAATTGCGATATAATTGGAATAGGTAGGTAAACTAACTAAATAAAAAAAGACGTAGGTGCAAGAATTTTTATGAGGAGATTCTTGATGTTGTGATTTTGGGAATATACCGATAGGTTGAAATTTACTGGGCATGATGAGCCTCTGCACAAAGTCAAAGGGGAAAGAGTTCTTTAAACAGTAATGCTACTAAATATTTGATCCCTCATTTCGAAACAATAGGCCTGAGATTTGACCTTAGAGTAAATTATTACTAGAGTGTACCAGCGACTTCGTCCGCATGGAATTTGAAAATGCATTCAATAAAATTTTTATTTGGTTTCTTTAAGGGGCCACCTAGTGTGAAATTTCTAAAAAAAAAATCAATCTTTTTTTCATAATTCGGTAGATCACACCTTTAAAAATAACATATTAAAATTTCAAATCGATATCTCAAATAGTTTTTGAGTTATAGCAATTTAAAGAGCAGCCGCTC